AGGGTGACTCATCGGAATCCAAGGAGCTGCTGGCTGACACCAGAGAGAATCCATTCCTCCCAGCACTTTGGGAGGCCAAGGCGGACAGATTGCTTGAGGTCAGGAGTTCGAGACCAGCCTGGCCAACATGGTGAAACCCCACCTCTACTAAAAATACAAAAAAAAAAAATTAGCCGTGCATGGTGGCACGTGCCTGTAATCACAGCTACCTGGGAGGCCAAGGCAAGGGAATCACTTGAACCTGGGAGGTGGACGTTGCATTGAACCAAGACTTCACCACTTGGTGACAGAACGAAAAAAAAAAAAAAAAGATACTCAGGGTTTTGCCTTCTAGAGTGTAAAGGCAGACAGGGGCACCTCATGTGACACACATCAGCCCTTCACAAACACAACCCCAGCCTTATTCCTTCAAGAAGCATGTATTGACCACCTATTGTGTGCAAGGTTGTTCTAAGTGCTGGAGATGCAGCAGGAAGCCAAAGCGGCCCAGTGTACTAACTAGATGTAATATATTGACTGTATTTTCTTACTTTCTATATTCTTGATGCTCCGGCATCTGGGACCTCGTGACTAAGAATTAGCACCTCTCCTAGGGTTAGCTAATTCCTAGAGAGAACAAATGACTTTCATGTGCAAAGCAACCAATTCTGAGGTGCCCCTGTCTGGCTTTACACTCTAGAAGGCAAAATCCTGAGTATCTTGTTTTTTGTTTTTGTTTTTGTTTTCATTCTGTTGCTGAGGCTGGAGTGCAGTGGTGAAATCTCAGCTCACTGAGATCTCTGCCTCCCAGGTTCAAGTGATTCCCTGAACCTCGGCCTCCCACGTTCAAGTGATTCCCCGTCTCGGCCTCACGAGTGCGTGATTACAGTCACACACCACCACGCACAGCTAATTTGTTTGTATTTTTAGTAGAGATGGGTTTCACCATATTGGCCAGGTTGGTCTCGATCTCCTGACCACAGGCAATCTGCCCACCTTGGCCTCCTGAAATGCTGGGATTACAGGCGTCAGCCACCACACCCAGCCCTGAGTGTCTTTTAAAACACCCAGCCCTGGCCCCGGCACAGTGGCTCACGCCTATAATGCCAGCACTTTCGGAGACCAAAGCAGGAGAATTCCTTGAGCCCAGGGTTTAGAGACCAGCCTGCACAACATGGCAAGCCCCCTGTCTCCACAAAAAAAAAAAAAAATGGTCAGGCATGGTGGCATGTGACCGGGTATGGTGGCGTGTGACCGGGCATGGTGGCATGTGACCGGGCATGGTGGCGTGTGACTGTAGTCCTGCTACTTGGAAGGCTGAGGTGGAAGGATCACTTGAACCTGGGAGGTCAAGGGTGCAGCGAGCTGCGTTTGCTCCACTGCACTACAGTCTGGGCAACAGAGCTAGACCTTGTCTCAAAGAAACACAAAACACAAAGTCACCCAGCCCTGCCCTCAGAGCCCACAGAAGTGATTTGGGGCACTCGATTTTCAAAGCAGGAGGACCCGGGGAGCCCCAGCGCTGCCCTGGGGTGGGGTTGGTTCTGGAGGGTGTCCAGCGAGTAGCCCTGGCCTCCCCCACGCGCCAGGGCCCGTGAATGTGGACGTAGAAGCCAAAGAGACAAGAATGCAATGCAGAAACGGGGACAGAGGGACCCAGCAAGCATGCGTAACCGGAGATCATGTGTAAATACATTTGGTTGGAGCTCTACAATTACACTTTTGGGCAAAAAAGTGAGGCTGCATGGTAGACTGAAGTGGACATGGGTTTAACTACTGGTTTCAATCTTTTAAAGGACTCCCCACAAACACTGAAGGAGTGGGCTCTGAAAAGGCTAGAACTCACATCCCAGAAAGATGAGTCAGTCTGAACCATGACCACTCAGAAGTCACAACCAAACTCTGGCCTGGAGCCCTGGCCTGTCAGCGAGGACTCCCTGAACCTCAGTTTCCTGGTCTGTCAAATGGGGAACAGGATTGCAGGATTGCTGGTTCCAGCCTTACCCTCCCCGCTGGGAGGGGGGTCCTCCAGACTTTCCTCTCAGCCTGCCGTCCCCTCCCCTGCCCTGCTCTCCTCCTCCTCCTCTCTACTCAGAAACGCCGTGGGCCTCTCGCAGCTTGACTCTAGTCAAGTTTCTTCCTCCTTGAAAACACCCTCTTCAACCCACCCCCTCAGGCTGCAGCGGATCCCACCTCAGAGCCCTCTCCCTGCCCTACCTCACACCTTCCACTTCCTCCCCCACTTTCCTCCCCACTGCTCACCGCCAGCCCCTTGCTGCTGACCCCATGGATATTGGAGACCTCGACCTCTCAGCAGTCAGGGATACAGCCAGTCACTTCCTGGAAGGCCCTCATCTGGGAGCCTCTGGCCACACCTGGGTTCCTTCCCATCCCTCCGCTGCTCCCCCTTATCCCCATGGTGGCCCCTCCAGGATCTCACAGGCTGGTCCCTTCATTCCAGCAGCCCTCTCCTCCCCACCTCCCACGTCGATGCTGCCAATGCCAGGGGCTATATTCCCAGGATCCCTTGCATCCAGATGTGAGCATGGACCCGCCCTGGCCACAGGGGCTGAGCACAGCCAGGGTGAGCCATGGTCAAGTCAGGATGTGACACCTGAGACTGCAGCAGCCGTCTGTGACCTCAGGGAGGAGCGACACAGGGAGAGGCTGCCCCTGGTTTGTTCGGAACCTCCATCCATCCCACCCCATGACACACCTCCTGGGCCCGCAGGAGACCTTGGGCTTCCTCCAGGCCCCTACTGCAGTGACTTTGGCGAGGGGCAGAACCCAGGACCCCTCTTCATGCATATGATACACACGCATGCACTGGACCTGGAGGTGTGTCTTCCTGTCCCTAGCAGAAAAGGGCTCAGTCCCAAAACTACAGCCGCCTGGTTGGAAAGGGGAAGTGGGAGTCAGGGAGCAGCTGAGTCGAGGGTAGAGGCCCAGGGGCGTGGGGGAGAGGGAAAGACCCAAAACAGAACTAGACCAGGCTCACGCCAAGTGCCTCTCCCTTCCCTCTCAAGCCGCCTAGCCCTTGCACTTGGCTGTTCCTATAGCCAGGGGCACCCTCTCCTCACCTTCTCCCTCAAAGAGTCCTGTTTGCCCTTCGATAGTGTCAAACTACTGATTTCAATCCTCAGACCAAACAGCCAAGACTCCGGATGGGCATTCATGCTCACTGAATGGGTTAAGAGCCCCTCTGTGCCCTGGGCTTATTGCAGAGCATGGGTGCCGGCTGTTTAACTTTCTGTCCCCAGCACTCAGCTGTCAGCCTGGCTCAGAGTCTATGCTCAGAACTCGTAGCCATCGACGAGGTGTGAGATGGTGGTTGTCACCTAAAATTGTCCCTTCATTTGAAATCCTGGCATTTGAGTCCCACGCCTGGGTTGAAGTACCCACAGATCCGGAACGCACACCATCTCCAGACGGCAGGACCTGGTGCTCAGACATCCGCGTGTGGGGCACACCTGTTGCTCAAGGCTGGGCTATGTTCTGCCTGGCTTGTTTTTGCAGTCCCTTCGTCTACACAGGAAAGGAGGCATGACTACCTTCCCTTTACAGACAGGGACACAGACGCAGAGGTAAAGTCGCAAATCCCACACCGGTAATGTTGGGATTTGAACCCAAGTCCAGGGGTTCTCAGGCAAGAGGGAGGTCACCTACATGGGACACCATTACAGAGAAACAGAGAAGGCGGCTTTGGTGCCCACCCTGCTCAGCCTCTGCTAGGCATTAAGGCTGGTGCCTGTTAACAGGTGGAGACTGATGTTCTGGGCTCCCTCGAGCACCCTGAATGTGGCCACCACCCTCTCCACCTTCTCTCCCCACGCTCCTCCCAACCCCTTTCCCCACAGCTCCTACCCTCTCTTTTGTTGGTGGTGGTGATGAACGTCTAAATACCAAGAAGATTCGAATCACTGTAAAACCTACAACACAGGGACAGTGACTGTCACCACATTGGTGATCATCCTTTCCAGATAACATCTTCCATCATCTGCTTACCTGGAAGGCAGTGAGTGGGCGAGCCATGAACCACATCCAGCCCATGGCATTAGCCTCCACCATGTTCTCCAGCTCAGCATTTTGCTACTTTGTCAAACTACTTGATGATTAATCTCACACAAAAGCAGATGAATGCAGCTATCCTTGGAAAACAGAGAAACCAGCCATCCTGTACTCTTGTCCCTTCATGGTGGCAGTCAGCCAGGGCCAGGACCAGCTGCCCACTTCATATGGGACAAGCCACTCCATTTTGCTACAGTCCCCACCATTCCCCGCTGTGTGCATAAGTGGGCCCACTCCCCTCATTCGCTTATTGTCTGGCCCTTCAGGGCATTCCAGCTGGCGACCCCTGCTCTAGGCCTCTCCAACCACTAACATTGATCAAAAACCGACTACATACCAAGCGCCACTCCAACACGCTTGACATGGCTTGACAGCGAACCGGTCACCAATGATGTGAGGCAAGCACCATTATTATGCCTATTTTACAGATGAAGAAACTGAGGCTCAAGGAGGTGAAGTCAATCATCTAAGACCATGGTAAGAAAGTGGCAGGGCTAGGATTTGAGCCCGGACCGTCTGGCTGCCAAGTCTGGGCTCCTGATCCCCATGCTCCACGGAAACACACAAATTCGCAGTTCCATGTTGAAGATAACTTTCCATGTTATCCTCAGGCTGAAGTGGACTGATTACTTGAGGCCAGGAGTTCGAGACCAGCCCAGCCAACATGGTGAAATCCTGTCTCTACCAAAAAAAAATACAAAAAATTATCCAAGCATGGTGGTGCGTGCTTGTAGTCCCAGCTACTCGGGAAGCTGAGGCATGAGAATCACCTGAGCCTGGGAATCAGAGGTTGCAGTGAGCTGAGATCGCGCCACTGCACTCCAGCCTGGGAGACAGAGAGCGACTCTGTCTCAATAAATAAATACATAGCAAGAATGAATGTCTGTTTTTTGTTTTTGTTTTTGTTTTTTTAATCTGACTAGCTTTCCTTTTTTTAGAGAAATACGCCTTACCTTGTGGCTCTGGTGGGTCTGTCCATCCGCTTTCACCTCCCTTCTGGCTACATGGCTGGGCACATAACCCAGGCCTGACCCACCATGGTGTTTCTCCCACGCTGTTGCAAAGATTGTTCCGGGGTGGGGCACATGACCCAGGTCTAGCCAGTCACAGCCTTTCCCTGGGAAATTTCTTTTTGGTAGGCGCTCTGAAATCAAGGATGATTTGATGTGAGCCTGGAACTGAGAGACAGAGAGGGAAGGAGAAAACTAACAAGGACACTTAAGAGTCTCTGGTAGGCCAGATGCAATGGCTCATGCCTGTAATCCCAGCACTTTGGGAGGCCAAGGAGGGCAGATCACGAGGTCAGGAGTTTGAGACCAGCCTGGCCAATATGGTGAAAGCCCGTCTCTACTAAAAATACAAAAAAAAAATTAGCCAGGCGTGGTTGCAGGCACCTGTAATCCCAGCTACTTGGGAGGCTGAGGCAGGAGAATGGCTTGAACCTGGGAGGCAGAGGTTGCAGTGAGCCGAGACTGCACCACGGCACTCCCACCTGGGCAACAGAGTGAGATTCCATCAAAAAAAAAAAAAAGTCTCTGGTGTCTGTACCCCCAAGGCCAACCCTGTTCCAGACTGTTCAGGGATTGAGCTGCTAAATACCCATTTAAGCCGGTCTGCGTTACTGTTACATACAACTGGAAGTAGATGCTTGAATCCTACGTCGTCATTCCTCTCTTTCATGACTCACAGTGACCCATCATCCAGACACGGTACAATTTATTAACCATTCGCTCTCCAGTGAGCATTTGGCTCTTCCCCAAATTCTCTGGTTATCAGTGGTGCTAGGAGGAGCTTCTGTGTTAGGGGCAAGTCCCAGAACTTGAACATCAGCATGTGCCCCACTGCCCTTGACCGCCATCCCTGCCTATGGTTTACTGGGTCTCAGGCCCTCCCTCCTGGATCCAGCTTCCTTCTCTCCCATTTGCCCATGCTCTTGGTCACTGGATGGCGAGTGACAGGGCTGGTGGAAATCAGGCACATCTGATCTGTGCTCTGGAAACCCTACCCACAGCTTGGGCTCACAGGCAGACCTTCAGCAGCCTCAAGATGCTGGGATGCTCCACTCTGCGAGCCTCCAGGATGCTGCCTCCAGTTCTGAGTCCTTGAGAAAAAAATCAGAAATCAGAGAAAATGGGGAAGGGGAAAGATCACAGAGAGGGTTCACTCTCCCAACACACACCTTGCCCACCACCTGCCACCTCCCACCTGGCCTAGTGACTCAACCATGTGCCCCATAAGGGCAGGACATTTGTCTGTGCCAATGCCAGGAACAGTGCGTGGCTCATAGCAGGCCTTCAATAAACATCAAAGGAATAAATAAATGAATGAATGGACGGATGGATGAATGGATGGATGGATGGATGGATGGATGGATGGATGGATGGATGGGCACTCTGACTGTGCAGCCAAAATGGGCTCAAGGGCAGATTCTGCTTCTAACTCACTCTATTAAGTCCCTTCCCTCTCCCAGTCTCAGTTTCCCATCTGTAAGATGAGGCCATGGAATTAGACCTCCTCTAAGCTTCTTCCATCTCTCTTGCCCTTGGGCCATTGGCATCACGTGAGGAATTCTGAGCTTTTGGACAAACAGAAAGTGTTACTCAGATGGTTTTGCTATGATTTGATTAAGGTGCTAGGCCCTTCCTATCTCTCCCTGAGGGAAGAGCAGGGAGGGAGGAGGGCAGGCCGGTGAACTTCTGAAATGTTTAAAGTGATGCTTGTACAAGCTGAGTGTGGGGATCTGAAGTCAGACAGTTCAGGGCTTGAATCTGAACTTTGCCTCTTCCTGACTGTGTGACCTTGGGCAACTGACTTAACCTCTCTGAACTCAGTTCCCTCATCTATAAAAGAGGGATTGTAATAATGTTATTTGTTGGATGGTGGAAAAGGTTAAATGAGATGACAAGTACTTAGCACAGTGTCTGGCACTCCATAGCAGGCACTCCAGAAACAGCAGTGGTGGTTATTTTAGGACCTCACAGATCCCATGTTTGGAGAATCTCATTTGTTGTCCCAGATACACAGGTGGGAACCAAAGCCCGATGTACTGCAGAAGGACTAATCTCAGGCCAGAAAGAGTTTTAAGGGGATTCCTTCCCATTTTCATCCTTCCTCCTACCTGGAATGTAGGCATGATAGCTGGAGATCAAGCAGCCACTTTGGACCATGAGGAGAACTTGAGGACAGCAGCAGAAAGTTAGAAGGATCCTGGATCCATGCCCAGGTTGCTACCGGGGCAGCCCTGTGTTGTCCACTTCAGGCTTCTTTCTTGTAAGAGATTAATAAACCTCTAGTTTCTTTAAACCATTATTATTATGTGGGTTTTCTGTTTCATGTAGGCAAACCTAACCTGAACTGTCTTCATTTTGTAGATGATTTAAAATTATTAAAAATGAGGCTCAGAGGGGAAGGAAGAAGATCACACAGCTCACAAGAGCTGAGTCAGGAATCGAATCCAGTTCTCTGTGACTCCCCTGGGTCCAGCTTCCTTCTCTCCCATTGCCTGTGCTATTGGTTCCCAGCTAATCTTGCAGCCAAACCTAGACAGGGAGTGACAGCGAAAATGATGAAGTCAGTTCTGCCAAACTTTTTGCTGCCCACAGTGAAAAGTCTCTCCCTCCCAGGCTGACTGCATATAAGCTGTTAAACACGACCAGGGTTGTGGGAGAGAGGGAGGGGAGGTGTTATCGCAACAGGCTTCACAGAGGAGGTGGTATTTGAGGTATATATTAGAGAATAAGACAGTAACAATAACTGAACCACACGACCGTGACCATCCATCAGACAAAAGGGAAGTGCCGGATGCCAAACCGTGGCCCGGGGCAAGGCACATTTACTGGGTCAGACGGGTCAGCGTTCCCCAAGGCCATCCCAGGTTCGGTGGTTTACTAGGTGGACTCCCAGGACTCAGCGCATGGTCATACTTAACAGCTATGATCTATGGCAGCGAAAGGACTCAAAGTCAAATCAGCAAAGGCGCAGTGGCAAAGTCCAGTGGAAACCAGGTGCAGCTTCCAAGAGTCCTCTCCCAACGGAGTCACACGGGACACGCTCAATTGCTCCAGCAACAAGTCATGAAAACACCTGTGAGATGGGATGCTACCAGGGATGCTAGGCAAATGGGGTAGGCTCAGTAAGCCACTCTCATCAGTTAGGGTGGTGGGAGCCCTCCCCAAATCCAAGCTCCCAGGTGCCAGCCAAGGGTCAACTTTGTAAGCATGACTTTTTAAAGATAGCAGTCTCCGGCCTGCAGTGTAAAGTCTTTCTGCATAGGGAATTATACCTTTCTCCACATTTCTAGGGGTTTTTTGTTTGTTTGTTTTGTTTGTTTTGTTTTGTTTTTTGAGACAGAGTCTCACTCTGTTGCCAGGCTGGAGTGCAGTGGCACGATCTCGACTCACTCCAACCTCCGACTCCCTGGTTCAAGCAATTCTCTCCCTTCAGCCTCCTGAATAGCTGGGATTACAGGCACCCGCCACCATGCCCAGCTAATTTTTGTATTTTTAGTAGAGACGGGGTTTCACCATGTTGGCCAGGATGGTCTCGATCTCCTGACCTCGTGATCTACCCGCCTCAGCCTCCCAAAGTGCTGGGATTACAGACGTGAGCCACCACACCCGGCCCAAATTTCTAGTTTTAAAATGGCCAGGGTCATGGTTTGTGGTTCCTCAGGCCCAAAGCAGTTGAGAAAAATCTAGTTTACCATGGAAATAATTGTAACAAGTTTTTCAGAAAATAACCATGAGTTATATAAGAACCCAGGTGGGGGCAGGGCAGGGGAGAAGCAGCGTGGGTGTGGGGTTCAAAAATCCTGAGCACACTAGACAGGGACTTAGTGGGCCTGGCTTCTGGGCCTGAATTGGCACTCACTCAAGTTCTGACTTGGTCAAGTGTTTCCCAGAATTAAGCCTCAGTTTTCTCTCCAAGGAAATGATAGCGTTGGATTTCTTCTGTATCAGTAAGCTTTGGCTGCTTAACAAAGCGTCTCAAAAGTTGGTGGCTTAAACCACAAAAACGTATTATTTCCCACAGTGCAACGGGTCAGCAGTTTGGGTGGGACTCCACTTAATCGTTCTTCTTCTGGTGTCCCCTGGCCTCACTGATGAGGCAGCAACCAGGGGACAGTCAGGACAGCCCGGCCTATCTCCTTGTGGTCTTCCAACAAGCTAGCCCAGGCTTGTTCTCATGGCAGCCGGGCAGGGGACTGAGAGCAAGAGCAGGAGCTGCAAGGCCTTTCAAAGCTCAGCCTCGAACATCACGGAACATCATTTCCGCCACGTGCTTTTGGTCAAAGACACGCCCAAGGCCAGCTCAGCTTCCAAGGAAGGAGAAATAGACTTCGCCCCTTGACGGCAGGAGTGGCGGCATAGTGAAAAGGAGGTGAACTTGTAGCTGGCTTTCACGTTCACTGTGATCTCCACCATGTTCCATTCATTCATTCATTCATTCTTTCATTCATTCATTCCACGCTTGCATACCCTCTATGTCCCCAGCATTTTACCACACACCAGGGCACAAAAGGTAACCTTGCCCTCATGGGACCTGGAGAGTAACGGGGAAGCAGATGAACAAATCTGCATGTGTCCTGAAGTTATAGGGAATTCGCATTTAATTTATACCTGTTTCTTTACAGCACAGCTTTTTCCAGAAAGGATTTGAACCAACCTGCCAGAAAAGACACAAGCAATAACATGATACATTTTAACCAAAGAAGAAAATTAGAATCAAAGGAGAAAGTGTTTATTGAGCATCTACTATGTCCCAAGAATCTCCAACACATCCTCTCACTCCATCGTTTCCATATCCCTGAGTTAGTGTTATTCCCCTTTCACAGATGAGCAAAGTGAGGCTGAGTAGCCCTAGCTGAGAGTCAAACAGCTGAGTCAGTCCCCAAAGTTCACACGACATCATAGAAAAGCCGTCGATGAGCTTTGGATTTAACGATGAGTTTCCCAGCAGCCTGGGGGAGAAGGAAAAATGGAACATATTACCCGATTGTTCACTAGACAAGAAAAAGCCAGATATTTCTTTGAAGGGAAGGAAAGTCCTTCCTAGCACTGAATTCATTTGTCTTTTCTTAAGTGGGAGTTGGAAGAGAGCTTGTGGGGTGGAACAGAGGGGGCCCTGCTAGGACTGTCCAAGTTGGGTGCTCCTATGGCATTCATGTAAGGAGGTTGCCAGGTAAATGCCCATGGTTCCCTGGAAAATGTTCATCCTCAGTGAACATCACCCTCGGTGTCTGTGCGTGTGTACGTGTGTGTGTACATATGCGTCCGTGTGTTTCTTTCTGTCTCACTGTCTTTCTCTTTTT